TTCACATCAGTTTTTCATTTAAGAGGATAATTTTGAAGCAGATGAAAAGGCCAAGTGAGCTGTGGAAATGAACACATGGAAATGTGAGTACCAGACCAGATACACAATGATCGAGGCTGAGCAGGTGCTATGTGGCTGCAAAATAGTAAAGAAACTATTGGAAAACAGGGGGAGAGGGGAAGCAGAATGTAGCCAGCAATCACTCTGGCAGAAGCACAGGTGTAGGAATGTGCTGGGAGAGTGAGCTGGTGGTGGGCACCGTCAGCACTTGGGCATCAAGAGCAGTGCTGAGACCCCGGAGTTAATCGCTGCTGCAGTTTCCTGTGTCCCTGCTCCTGGTTTAGATTCAAGAAGGCAAAACTAGTGCTTTGCTGATCCTCTGTGGAGGGGACAGCATTTGCTTCTGGCTCTTATCTACAGAAATGTCTAATCCTCTCTGCTAGGCATTTTCCCTCGCTATTGACTGTTGGCAACAGTTACATGAATCTATACACTGGCCTTTTCAAATCAGAAGGGAGGGTTTATAATTTTAAAAGTGTGCCTTTCAGTTTTGTTGCCTGCTTGCTTGTTTTGCATCACAGGAGGATTAACTGAAGTATTTGGCTTAACTTCTTTATGCTGTGCTCTCACATGTATCCTTCCAACGTGTCCCCTCTGATTCCTGTTCTTACTAAAATAAGCAGTCCCGGTTGTTCCTGTTTTCTGGCAATTGCACTGGAAGAGCCATGGTCCTTTTTGAAATTCCTAGGGTCATTCAGAGTAGTAGCATTTTTTTATTACGCAGATTGCTTTCTGGGACATTTGTTAGGTTTATCTTTTTTATAGAATAGATTTTATTAATAGGATGAGTTTCACAAAATTATTGCCTGAAGATTTCAGGTGGAAAAAAGAGGAAAAAATGGACTGATTTGGAGAAATTCAGGAGTGGTTAGACCAACTTTGGCCCCAGGAAAAGTTATGGGACAAATTATTGAACAGTCAGTTTATCAAATGCTGAAGATGATGAAATGATTAAAAAACCCCTATGGGTTTGTGAAGAATGAGTAATTTCAAACTAATCCAATTTCTTTCTTGGGCAGGATAATGGACACAGTACATGGGGGGATATGTAAATTGACTTCTATTAAGCTTTTTGACTTTTTCTCGTGGTATCTTTATATACAGCACAGGGAATTATGTCCAACCTGAAAACACTGCACACAATGGAGTGGAAACCACTCCAAACTTGTTGTATGTCACTGCCAGAGTGAGAGAGCTTTTCAAGTGGAGCTGTTCCTATTCTGTATTTTCATTAAGGACTCAGGTAATGGGATGGAGGTTAAATTGGTCAAATGCACAGAGGACATCACACTGTTATGCTGTAAGGACAATGGAAGACAAAACCGGAATTCAAAAGGGCCTTGTTAATTTGGCAGAAAGTACTGAATCAACAAGAGCAGGCTCAGCTTTTCAAAGTCCCCATATGGGAAGATAAGGGGCAAGCTGGGGTGAAAAATGGAGAATAGTAACTGCCCAGGAGCCTGAATGGTAGAGAAAGATTTTTTGGAGTGGACAACAGCTGAATACAGGTCAACAAGTGATACTCTTGCAATAACACATATTTCATTGTTTGACAAGGATATGGACAAATTGGAGGCACCTCAGTGGAGAGTTTAGAAAGGATAGAATGAAAGTTGAAAGAAGTGCTTATGTTTTAATGTAAAGAAAAGAAAATAGACAGGATAACAGTATCCCAGTTTGCAACAGAGGGTAGCAGCTAATTGTTCTGCTTTCATCCTTGGAACAGAACAGTAACATATCGGTTTAACGTGGAAGAAAGAAATTCAGGTTGAAGATTAGAATAAAGTAATATAAAATAGAAAGAGATCCCTCAGAAGGGTTCTGGACACCTCTGGAGGTGTTGAGGAGAAAGCTGACCAGATATTTGTTAGGAATGGGAGTTGAGATGTATCCAGCCCCTCTATTATTATGCAGGACTTAAAAGTATTTGACACCACTTTTCTGTAACTGTTCTTCTTCCCAAGTAAATTAGTCTTTTTTTTTTTTTTTTTACCATGTCAAGAAAAGATTAAAGAAAGGTAAAGCTGAACTTCCTATCTGAATTTAACTCTGTTAATGTCTGCCTTTCCAGAATGATTATTCTTGTGGTGCTCTGAGAGCCTTTTCTATATTCTGTCTGAAATCTTCCTCACTTGAGGTCTGTTCCAGCTGAAACAGTGAAAATGTGCTCCAGGAGACAACTTGAACTGTTTGATCCCGTATAATACCTCTTACAATTTTCATCTTACAGGCTGGGCCAAACCCTCTGGTGTAAAATACAGGCATGGGAGACGCTCTGTAGAGTGAGTGGCAGAAAGTCTCCTCAAACTTCACCCAAATGAAAGAATGTGCAAGGCTTTAGATGTGCACTGCAAAGAGCTGTTGTCTCCATGTTAGCAAGTTTAAGAGGAAGGGAGGGGTTGGACTGAAATAATGTGTGAGAAAAGCAAGGGAACAAAAACTAGAGGGACAAGCAATTGGGTTTGTGGCACTGAAGAAAAGCTCAGTGTTTGTGGGCTGGGCAAGGTTGTGAGTAATGACAGGCTCTAGTGTTTGATCCTGTGATCATGGAAACACAGCTTCATGCATCCTATTAAGTAAACCCCTCTTCAACCGAAAATTGCTTGGCTCCATCATGATGTCCTCTTCCTAATTAAAACTGCTGTCAGGATCCTGAGTTTTGCTAAATTGAGGAAAAAGGAATGTGTTACAAAACTTCAGTTTAAAAGAGATACTGCTCACAGAAATAGAAAGTTAGCTGATATCATTATATGTCCCTCATGGAGGTGACAGATACTGCCTCTTTCTTTAACAGCAGGCTCCAAACAAATAAGCAACCCACTGTCCTTTTCTCACTCCGTTTTCTGTGAGCTTGCACAAGTAAGGCAGAGGAGAGATGCACACTTTTGGTTGAGGGTCTAAATACTACTTCTGTTTCACTTCTACTCCCAACTAAGAAAGAACTAGGAAACTGAAATTTTTTCCAACTTGTAGCAGACTGCAGTTGAGGAGCACAAAGCTCAGGCAATACAAACTTCTTTAAATCTTGGAGGTTCATTGGAAGGGATTTTTTTTTTCAAGCTGTTTTTATGAAATTTTTCTTTCTCCTAATGGAAAGAAAAATATTCTTATAATGGAAGAAACAGAAAGATTTCTCTCATTGATCAGGGTTCATATTCACTTTCTTTGATATCACAGTTATATTTTTGGTGTATTTGGTTAGTGCTTTAGTTCTACTGCTCAGTCTTTTACAGCTGCTGTCTTATAGGCAGTTCACCTTATAAAATGAACCAACACCTTTTCTTCTGCCATGAACTATAATGGTTTTTTTGTTTAGTGACCAATCAGATGTTGTTGAATTTTCTGAGTATATCCTATTTTGTACATTGCATAACAAAACCAAAGCTGGTAGGTGTTTGGAGGTGATTTTAGAACTGCTGTTGTGTTCAAAGAACTACAGAAGACGACTGTGGGACAAGTAATATTTTGAGCATTTCCTGAACAAGGGGTAAATTATTGTTTGTAGCAAAGGGTAAAAGAAATCAAATATGCTTTTTATGATAGTAAGACCGAAATGTAGACAAGTGCTGACATTAGAAAAGTGGTTATTTTGCTCTTTTTTCTTCAGTTTACTCCCTATGCTATTTCTAAAACTGACCTTCTGCCAATGATAATGTATTCATGAGTTTGTTTGCACAGCTCAATGTGCAATGCCTTTATGAAATTTGATCATATGAGTGGCACATGTCAGATGAAGGGATATCTTAAGGGATATCTGGCATCATATACAAAACAATTACATGTTTGATTGCACAGAGTATAGTCTCAAATGGTGCCAGCAGCTCCTGTTAAATGTCAAAAGATAAAATCAAGCCCAACTCCCAAGCATATTTTACATACTTTGTAAAGCTGTCATTCTGTGATATCCTGTCTTTGGTTCCTCTTCCCTGTGACATAGATGTTTCTTCTAGCTTCATTCTTTGGATGTGTATTTTCAAATTGTATAGGCAATGTACTCTTAAATTGTACAGCTCTGTATGTGGATCCCCTGCCATCAATAAAATCTCAGGCTGACCAACAGTCACAGTTAGAGCTGATTTTTGGGTTTCTGTTACAGCTGCCAACCACAGGCAGCAGGTACTGGGAGTATTTACATTTGTATTCTCATCTGTGCCAAAGCCAGGTATCATCACCTGCATTTGTGTCTTCTGTCAGCATCTTCTCTGTTGTGAGATGCTTTGCTTTTCAGCAAAGAATCCATAAAGTTGCTTAAAAATATCAGAAGGGCCGGACTGATTTACTGCTAAATCATATAATGGCAATTATTGGCATGTGAGAAATGATCTTGGAACTAGAATCAAATCAAAGAACACATCTACAAAATAGAGTAGGGACTCACTGATTATTGATATTTGGGGGTGAGATGTGTGCATGTATGTATGCATGCATCCACATCAAGGTAAACCTCTACAGAAAGTTGCTTACCCTTGTTTTCTATATTGTGTCATAGCATTTGCTAATTAATTACATTTTGCACAGCTGTAGAGCCTTTGCCATGTTTCAGAGTGTGTGAAATACAAGCAGTTTCCACCAAGCAAGAAGGAGGTAGAACGTGGTGGTGGTTTGAGGAGCTGTGTCAGGCCATGGGCTGGAATGATCTGGAAAAGGCAGAATATCCAAGTTTGAGAAAACAAATCCAACAGTATATTTTTCTATTACTGTTTTTTAAGCCAATACTTGATCTCAAGGTGTAGCCTAGTGATGGTAACTTTCTTCTTTCCAGTGTTTGGAGAATTTCTTGTTTCACAGCCTTGAAGCAAACCATTTTAAAATCAACTCTGTTATCCCACAAAGAGGTCGTTTGGGATCTCTGTTGCTTTTTCCAACAGTGAAGTATCTGTTCAGTTGTCATTCATGGCAAGTACCCAGACAACCTGTCTCCTGTCCTTTTTGTTTTGTAGCAGTCTGACAGCAGTATCAGCTTCCAAGACTTCGTTAGATTGACATTCATGAGCAGAAGGTATGTGTTTCGCCTTCTCAATGCCCTCCCCAAAACCAGCATGATGATGTGCCATGTACATAATTTATCACTTATCCCATGGCAGTAAAACTACACAAGGATGTCTCCAGCATTCTCCAGGGTGACCAGAGAATGGTTTCTTTTTTTTTTTTCTGTGTTGCTGTTTCCATCACACTGCTTAACACCAGGAAGAACTTTGTCCCTGAAAATCACCCACCGTGTTTGATAATCTTTGTCAGAACATTGAGCAGACACCAAACTAAAGGGTATTTTAGGGCCCACTTTTCTGCCATCACTCATCTCAACTTGCTAGTAACTTCAGTGTAACAAATGGCAGACAAACACATAGACAAAGATGTAGAGATGGCATTGCTCCCTGGGAGCACACTGCTTTTTAAAAGCTGAGCGGGGGAACTTAGACTTTGTGCCTGTTAATTCAGTGATCAGCACCTCTACTGTGATTGCCAACAGGGCTGAATACATCCTTCATTTTTATCCAGAACCTGCATATGAGGAGCAAGACATGATCCTGCTTTTTCTGAGGTCAGAGGGAAAACACTTCATTGGGTACTTGGGAGCTGGTCTTCTCCCAAAAGCAGAAGTGGAGTGGCCTTGTACACTTGAACCGTTCTCCTGATACATGCCATGATTTTGGTACCTGTGTCTCCTTTTCACCACATCCCAGCACCTGTGCAGGGCTTACAATTCAGTTTTTCAGAGAAGGGGAGATTGGCAATTCAAGTTTGGTGGGCAAGGGTAATTTGTTTGAATAAAACACATATGCCAGTCCTAGAAGAGATAGGGATGTGGACAGCAGTTCTGTCTTCCATGCTTCCCTAATTGGAGCTCACAAACCACTTCCTGTTCCCCAGGAAACTACTGGATCACAATAATTACTTAATTATTTCTAGATAGAGATAGTAAATAGGAGTATGAAACCTCGGGCTCAGCCTCAGTCCTTTCAAAGGGCTGTCATAGGAAAAACAAAAAAGAACGTATTAAGATTTTTTTTTTTTAAGACTAAAAATACATGTCTTTTAAACACAGCTCTTAAATAAGATTTTTTTTTTTAATCTGATAATAGACACCTTGAAAAGAGTTCAATCTGAAACAGCTTCTTTTGATTTTTCTACTAAAAAAGATAGGAGAAACTATATATATTTTTTGGATAAAACGTTCTTTATTTTAGTTTTGTAGTTATGAAAACATAGCCACATGTTTATATATAGCAAAAATTGAAATATGTTTCTGAAATTATTGCTAATGCTTTCAATTTTTATTTCTGCATTCTCTTTTTCCCCCAGTCTTTTTTCTGTGGTGAGTGAAATATCTTCACAAACTCATGTGTTCCTTTTTATGACTGAAATGTGTTTTAATTGAAGGAAGGCGAACGGGTGGGTTTTGCTTTTCTGCACAATAAAATATAACATTGCTTTTCAATGGCGGCTCAATGAAAATTTTAAAAACTAGTTCCTCTTGACTGTGTCTCCCATTTAGATGCCTATTAGATTTCTTAATTATTAAGTCACATTGGAAATTGCTATGTTTCACTGTAAGAGAAAATCTAACATGTTATTTTTGTCACTGGCAAAGGTGATCATTTTAAAGTAAGTTCAAGTGAGCCACTCAGAGGTAAGAAATTTATATTTAACTGTGAAGTAATTGAAAAAAATTATAATAAAGCGATTATTGAGAATGCTTTGCTAAGATTGAGTCAATTACTGTCCCCCAATTACCAGAGAGGGTTTTGAAATTTGAAGTACATTAAATCATTGTGGTATGATTTTGTAAACCATGGTTGCAATACCAGTGGCAGTGTAGCAAATTAAACTGCTGGGAAAGTAAATATATAGTTATGCCTCGGTGGCTGTAAAGTGTCTCTGTGCTCTGACTGAAACAACCCCATTTAAGAACAGCAATCTACATATTTTGGAGTTCACGTAGCTTGCCTATATTTTCTGATGGAGAGGAGAAAATGTCCCTCAGGTCACTTTCATTTTGTTGCATTAAGGTAAAGGCCTGTGAAAATGGATTAAGAATGGGACTTAAATTGCAAAAGCATCACTGTAAAGTGTATTGGAAGTGAAAATGGCTTTTTGTTCATATTCCAGTTATTGTGCCCATTAGACACTATATTGGTTAAAGAAAAGCACCCATCAGTGAATTGTGGTGGATACATATGAATTACTTCTTACCATCTTTCCTTTTGCATTATGTATCATTCTGCTTGGAGCACAGCATTAGCATTATTTTCTTGAGAATAACATTTTCTTATATTCTATGACATTTTAATCAAGAAATGAAAAGAATATTATTTGCACTCATACTGAAAAATATAGGTTTATTCCTTCGTATTAACTTCTTTAACCTAATTTAAGTACAAATACTTTTTGCAAAATTTGTCAACAGCAATATCAAATGTGTACAAAGCCAAAATGAAGATTTATGGGGAAGATTTTCAATGGCATATGTCAGTTAGCATTTCTTTTCCTTTTTGGAAATCTCTTCTGCTTAATGGGGGCAGAATGACACCCGTTTAAAGTTAATTAATTGTTATTATGTTAAGTAGAACGCTCTGAATGTTATTAACCGAGTGCTGGCAAACTGGGGAACCAGAGTGGTTCTGATTATTTTTTCTCACTGATGTATCCAACACTTTTGACTACATTGTGGCTACTCTATAAGCATAACTTATGAGTTGTTTGTGTGGTGTCTGATGTGCTTTGTCTTTTGGCAGTACAGGGACCAATCTGAGTGCAGGGGGGCCAGTGGGATGCCCCTTTCCAGGAAGCAGGGCTGCTGGGGCACACAGCCCAGGAGAGGTTATTGCTAGCAGGAGAAAGAACCTTCCAGGGGCCGGTTCCTGGGGATGAGGAGGGTTTGCAGTTAGGCATTTCCATGGCAACAGGCTGGGGGAGCTGCCAAGAAAGAGGGAAGGTCAAAGGACAGAAAACGGCTGGGAGAGGCAGCATGAGGAGCTGATGAAAGTGTCCCAAGGGTTGTTGCAGGGTCTCGGAGAAGCACGTGGCTTTGGGCTGCTGCCTTGACACCCTATTAGGGGCATGCAGAAGGCTGGAGAGGGGCTGTCTGGCAGGGCCTGGGGGAATATGGGGAGCTGCTAAAGGTGTGAAAGTGCAAGTGGCTGAAGCCTCAGGAGGCAGCCATGCCCCAGAGTAGAGGGCTGAGGGCAGCTGTGATGCCCCGATCTCTCCAGGAGCTGGTCCCTCCGGTGGCAAGTCTATTACAAGCACACTCAGCTGGAAAGTTTTAGTTGTACTCAGGGGTAAAGAATTGCCCTTTAGCTCAAAACTTAAAGTGGTGAATCGGCACAGAGCATCACTTGGTCCTAGGTGGTGGGCGTCAGATGGAGCTGCTCTTTTAACAGTAGTTGGAATTGTATTCATGTGAAAGATCATATTTAATCTGTTATTAATTATTTAATAAGGACTGATGGAATGAACAAAAAAGATTGAGTGCCATTAAGTACAGAACTTGGGAGATTTCCCTGGCAATGCTTTAATATTTGATGCAGAGATTGTTTTTACTTGCAAACATATGGTCACAGCAGGTATTAACTAAAATGGCCCGAGAAAGGAATGTGATTTCCCTTTCCTTCCCCCATCTTCCATCCCAGATGTGCTGTTCACAGTGAGCAGCAATGGGAATCTGCAGCACAGCTCCTCTCCTCCTTTCACACGTGAGTTGTGCTTCTCTGTGATTGCCGCAGCAATGGGTTTAGCCTCTGGGAGCAGTGCATACCTCCACAATTCATTTCTCCGTTTCCAATTTCACACTGCAAACTTCCCAAATGGAGTTCCCAAAAGGGGTGGCTTGCCATGAGTTTGCTGGTGATGGACGCTTCAGGGCGGTCGGGAAGAAGGGGAGGGAATGCACTGGAGAGCTTGTGCGTGAGGGAGCCCTGTCACCCTTTTGCCTCAGACAAGTCCCAGCACACAAAGCAGCTGTGGGGAGGTCACACAGGGGAGTGAGCCCAGAGCTGGCCAGGGGGCCATGGTGGCCCTGCGGCAGGGGAAAAGTGGCTGGCGTGGCCGGGAGCTCTCTACTCCAGCTGCTCCGGTGCAGGACTCCAAGTCCTGCTTTGGGAGTGTGAAAGGAAAACTTCTCTTTTGGGCTGGCAGCTCAGTGACCCCTACAGTCCTACACATTGCAGGGCACATAGGCAAAGGTAGGAGTGCCCGCAGCTGCGGCTCGGCTGAGGCGGCCATTTTGCAGTGGTGCACCTCATGTGGTGGCCATTTGCCCGACGCAGCCGTTTGCTTGCAGAGCCACGTCTGTGGTGGCCATTGACCTGAGGCAGCTATTTGCTGAGGCTCCCCACATGTGGCCACTTGCCCCATGCAGCCGTTTGCCCAAGGCTCTTCATGCATGGTGGCCGTGAGCTGGCTGTTTGCCCAAGGCGTCTCATGCAGCGGCCATTTTCTGAGGTAGCTGCGGTGCTGGTTTTCATCCCTGAGGGGGGCCCAGTGCGTCCTGTTTGCCCAAGGCGTCTCATGCAGCGGCCATTTTCTGAGGTAGCTGCGGTGCTGATTTTCATGCCTGAGGGGGGCCCAGTGCGTCCTGTAGGCTGTGACTTGGGAGCACTGACAGGGGAACAGTGCTGCCAACATCTGAGAACGGGAATTTGCGACAGACAAGAGACGAGAGGGCCAACAAGGGGCAGCTCTTGTGCTGCTCTCTGACCCCTCATACATGCAAGCACATGGCAGCCCCCAGGGAATGGCCACAGGTAAGCACTGATCTTGGATCCTCCCTGGGAAACCACAAAGCTTCATAGGGAGGGCTGGGTTGGTGGCTCTTCTTCTTGTACCTGAAGGTTTGACTCTGCCAAGAGCCCAACACTGTGCTGTTCCAGTCCAGTTCCACCACAAACAGTGGTTGTCCAAACTAATGAATGCTGTAGGGAAAAGAAACTAATCCCTCTAAAGCCATATTATCTAACAGGCTTGTGCTTAATTGGACAAGTTTGACTTGAGTCAAGAGGATTCCCAGCGTGAGAAAGGAGTGAGGATCATCTCATAATAGTAAAATAATGAAAAAACTTAAAAAGAAATGGAAAGTAAAGCGATTGAGAATAAAATATATCAAATTAAACACAACTTAAGAAAAAACACTGAACTATGCTTTGGAAGTACTGTTTTTTTTCAAATAGATCTTGTGTTTCTTGGTCTATGAAGGGAAACAGGCATTTTGTTGGAGATGCTGTTATTCGTGTCATTTGCCCGTGGTTTGATCTAAATTTTAATCACACACACACACAAAGTTGTAAATAATAAATTGTGCATCCTTATTTTTTATCTTTTTAAGAACCCTGATCAGGCAGTGTGGAAACCTTCTGAATGCATGAGGAGGAAAGAAATCACTGAGAGCAGTGAGAATAAAGTATGAGGCTTCAGACAGAGAGAAGAGGAGGAAAGGCACACGTCTGGAAGGCTGTTGGAAGTCTGCAAACTGATGATCAGGAAGAAGACGGGAATGAATAAGAGCATAAGAAGAGAGACAATGACCAGAAAAGAAATGATGGAATAAAAGGTGAGGTGAGGAATGATGCTGAGTTGTAACAGTGTCACAGGAGATTCAAGCTCTTGTGATGTATGGGAAAGTTGAACATGGTTGCATCATTCTTGTAGTGTCTTGAATATTCCCCAAAAGCCAAGTCTCATATCTGTGCCTTCACTTCTTTGCTTGGCACCATATTTATAATTGATTTTTTGTAGGATTTGTCTCTGTTCTCCAAGAGTCCTTTCCCCTGTGACTCGTCTTGTCTTGATTTACTTGTATGTGGGACTGACCTTGAAGGCTGTTCCCAGACAGGTGCAGAACATAAAATGGTGCCTGGCAGCTTGGTTATTCTGCTCCACAGGTAGTGAGAGTCTGGGCTTTCCAGGCTGAGTGCTAAAGCTACACTTACTACTGTGAGCAACATGAAAGAATAACCCATCTGTTTGGACAATGTAACAGTCTTATCCTTGCCTGGAACAAAGTTTGATTTGTAAACATTGGTGAAATCTGAGGTCTCTTGCAGTGCAAGGGCTGTCTCACCACCTTTTTTCCAAGAGAGAGAGGTAGCAAGACTCCCCCTGGGATGGGGGAAGATGGTGTCCTGCTGCTCCCTGGGGAATACTTTAATGCTCTTAGCTGGCAGTGCACTTTTACTTGCTGTAGGTGGACCTGCCTCCTCCAGCTCCCAGGGAGGAGGCTGAAATGCAGTCACTGCATGCAGAATCTCAGTAGATAATGTGAGCTGAAAAATAGGCAGGAAATAAACTCATCTTTACTCTGAGATGTGGTCTTGTCTAATGCCTGAGGACTTTCATCTGAATTTGGGTGAAGTTTTCAGAAAACTCCTTAGTCAGCTACTGTTTCTTTGTGTGAAAGTAATTTTTTTCTCTCTGGATTTACCCAACCCTGCAGAAGCCTCCAGCAGGGAAAAGAAATCCTTTTAAATCATGATAGCCACAATCATACAATTGAACTACCTTTTATACAGTAGTCGTTGCAAATGCTGTGTTGAAAAGAGGCATTTCTTTCACTAGAATAAGCTATCAAGTCAGGTTCTGTTATCCAAGTTCATAGCAATATTAGTTCTGGTTTTTTGATGTGAATTGGTGGGGAAAAACCAAGGCAGAACAATAAGAATTCTGTAATGATTGACTGCTTTGAGGCAGTGTTGACTATCATAAAAGGGAATGTTCAGAGTAGGAACATGCAAAACTTGGCATTTGTTTGTGATTAAAGAAAATGGAGTGGAGGGAGTTGCATCTGCAATAAAAGTCAGAGTATATTGTAATAATATGATTGTTATCTTGCTTTTTATACTCCTAGACTTCACCTGTGATACACATTATGAAGAAGCTTAATGTGAACCTTCTGTCTTGGAGTAGCAGATGGCTATTCTGGTCTAGCTGTGGACTGGTGGTTTGGAGAGCACTGAGAAGCTCTGTGGCAGTGGAGTTAATGAGAGACAGCAGACTTTTACTTAGTCCAAACCTGAATTCCAGGTAACAGTTTTTCCTGCTGTCCACAGGATCAACTGTACAGATGACATAAACAAGGAAGATCACGGTGCTGGCTGTAAACTGCTGAAGTTGCCTCTCATGTCAGGGTCCATAGACCAATTTTCCAGTCTTCTGGGAATACAGGCCATGGTTTCACCCAGTGATCCTTCGTGGTTAACAGAAAGGCATCCAATCATGTGAAGATATTAGGAACAGGGAACCTGCTGTTTCTTTTCTTATTTCAGTAGTTTATCATTCATATTATTAAAAGCTTTATCTAATTTCAATTTGCCTCACTTTGGGGATTTTTTTGTTGTTAAGTCTTGTTAGACTTACTCTGCAGGATTTAAGAGCCATGATTACAGGTATTTTCTCCTTGAAGAAAAGGAAGTGTCATCAGTTTTTATTTTGTATTCTTTGTCCCTTCATTTGATTCCAAAACCTCTTCTGTGCGTCCTTCTCAATTTTGAAGTGTCTTTAAAACATGAGAAGTCCTATGAGCAGCATTTTGTTACGGGTCTCAAGAGTGCTTCAGAGGTGAGCAGAACCACATCCTGATCTCTCATTACTTCTCTTTTGTACAGCCAAGGATCACACTGGAACTTGGCACTGATTTTAGAGTTGCTGCTGTGCAAGGCAGGGTCCCCCACTCTGTAGCTGTGGATGACAATATTTGTAGCTTTATGACTTTGCATTGGGCTGCCTAACAACTTTTGGGTTTGTCGTGTGGGCTCAGCTTAACAAGCACCTGGGTCCATTCTGAGTGAACTCACTCATTTCTTTACTGTTTATCATTCTGACTGTGTTTGCTTCTAGTTGTATTTGCAGGGATATAATATTTACCTCCAGACTGTAAATACTGTATCATCAATGGGACCGACTCCTGTTGTGTCATGATTACCTCCTACAAATGTTTTAGTGTTTCTTTTCTTCTTGTTTTCAACACTTAGGTAATGTAGTCAGTTTTTAATCCAGTAACTATATACTTTAGGGCCTTAAAAAACCTCACAGAATTCTGAGGATATTGCAGTTCTCCTCTTGTCTTTATCAGCCAAACTTGTAATCCCATCAAAGAATGAGGCATCTTTGGCTCTGCAGGAACTGCTTGTGGAAAATAGGCTACAGAGACATTTTGAACAGCTGTTTTGCTTGAGAATTAAAACATTGTGGAATGCTGTAAGTGAAAGACTTGAAACTTTTTCAGTCCCTTAGTGTTTCCAGATATCCATGCAGGTTAATGTTGGCACCTTTCTAAGCAAACTGTGCATGTAGTTTATGGAAATTTGTGTGACATCTTGGCCAACTTCAGAGGTCTGGGCCTTTTGCTCGAGTTTTTATTCAAACCTTGAGGATAAGAGCAGTTTTTGGCACCAGCTTGATCTGTTTTCAGTAAATTCATTTCCCCTGCAAAAGCCTGCATTCTTAACACAATGGGCACTGTTTATCTGCATTGCTGTTTCATTCCTCATGATGCTAAAAAATTAGAATGTAGAATAAATTTGTTTTTCTATGCAAATATTTTTCCTACCCATTAAGTACCTGAAGGCTCAAACTGACCAGAATTTGCATTTATTTCTTGTGGTTTTGATTTCTTGTAAGTATTTCTTTACAGGTATTGAAAAAATCGAGAGCCTCTTTTATGAAGGAAGTTATCTAGTTGTGTAAGTCCACATTTATAAAAAAAACCCCTAAAGCCCCCCTTACTACATTCTGCAACACAAAGGAGTTCAAGTTGGAGGCTGATAACATGATCACGAAGTAGCTTTTCTCTTGCCTGCATATTGATTTGATCTTAATATAAAATAACATGAATTCTTTCCAAGTCTCACTCACTACCTCAGCAATTAGTGGAGACTTAAGGTTTCAGAAGAGAATGATGTATGAAAAGCGAGTATGTACAGACAACACAAGGACAGTGTCAGAGCAGTAATGACTTCATTTCCTTTGCATGTCTCTGTTCCTGTGATTTATTAACTGTGATTTGTTTATTGGTTGTGGCTTTTTTCCCTGCTCATATTTGGCTTGTTTGGCTCTGTGCAGTGGTAAGTAGCTAAAGCCCTGCCATCAGTAGTTCTGTTGCCTTCTGAATATTTTCTTCTGAGATGAAAGTGTGCTTCAGCTGTGCAGCTCTCAAATAACCGTCTGATCCATCCTCGCTGTGCAGGGGAAAACAATATTTCAATTTCTTTTCACGTGGGTAACTTCTCTGGAAATTGGGTGCTTCGTGGGCACACTGCAGCTTCAGCATCACTACAGCACGAAAGAGAGGGAAAGGGGGAAAAGGAATTAGCATGTGAGCTGATCTTCTCAAATGTTTAGAAATGGAATAGTTTTTACTCCTTCTTTATAAACACCTTCTTCTAGAAAATTAAAATCAAGGAGGGCATGTGCACTGATTTTATCAGTGGCAAGAAGTTTTCAGCTTACAATACTAGAAATAAGGTCAAGAAATATGCAGTTCTGAGCCCTATAAAAGCCTCTTTCTCATTTATCATGAAGTCTTTACTCGTGATACATAGGAGCAAATATTTAGTCTTAAATATAACTATATGCATTTCAGATTTATCAGAAATGAATGAGAGAAGAATAAGACATTCAGGTAAACACTAGCAGTTTAGCATAAAATCAACCACAGAAGATTTAAGCATAATCCTTGATTCTGCAGAGCTCAAACTGCTCTAATTCCTATCCAGCACAGCACTTAAACACACTCTGAACTATAAGCATTTACCTGCTTCTGCAGGGTTCTGTGAGGAATATTCATGAATTTAAAGACTAAGAAATAACAGAAATGCTTTGTTAATGCAAGGATAGAATGCTTCTAACTTTGCAGGGTCAAGCCTATCTTCCTTTTTGTGTCTTTTTCTTAAATTATCTTTTAATTTAGCTATTATAACGTAGACTTTGCTGTTCTCTCATGGGACTCTATTTTTATGTGTGTTTCATTGGATTAAAAACAAAAAAAGATGATGATTTTCCTTTCTAAAGAAAAAGTAATGCTTTCCCCTGTGTATTGTTACACCGACTTTCCCGGCAGAGAGGAGCACCAGGGGATTTGTTAGTGCGCACGTTAACTCCCAAACCTCCTTGCATCCGCTGAATTTTTAGTGCATTTTAGTGTAATCCTGCTGTGCCCTTTTTGGCATCACTGCAGGTACAGTTGTGTCTCAGTGACTTCCTGACATTGCTTGTGGTGGCCAAGCAAGCTCACTGAGAGCCCTGTTGACTTGACACTGCTGCATACTAATACTCCCAGACACAAGGGAGTCCTGAGGAGCCGGCCAGAAGCTGTGTGTCATTGCTTCTTGAGGTATATCTTTCTGTAGTGTTTGAGATGTTTTGTTTTCCACCATGCACTGCAACAGTGGAAGGGAGGGGAAGGAAGAGCTGCTCTTCCCATTTCACACAATGGAGTGTGGAAAAATTAGCCCAAGGCTACAGATAATGTCTGTTATAGTTGAGTAACAAGTTGCTGTCTTGGCCACTGTCTTGACTGTTGTCTCGGAGACTCTGCGCCTCTTGTGTCACACAGCT